GCCATCGTGTATCGTCCAGCCACTCTTAAGAACCATATCTTCATTGTAATATGTTCTCGGTTTTTGGTATATCATTCATCCGTGACAGATGAACTAGTTCGAAGATCCTGAAGGAGTTAAGTGTGTGGGTGATGAGTTTCATCCACCTGGAGGAATTTAACTGCAAACTTCATTTACACGCTGGATTGTCCAACCAATATGTATGATGTCGAAGATTTGCATAGAACTGAACTCGTTGACTGTCATGCCATACCGATAAGTTACAGTTGAAATAGGAAAGATTATACTCATGAATTTAAATAACCGTTGACTCAGTTTGGTTGGCTAGGGATATTTTGTGCGGGGCCACAATATACTTAATCGCATCTCAGAATGCTATTTCAAGATGAGCCAACCCCAAAGAGTCAGAGCGGTCTCTTCATGTCGGTACCGGTATTCAGAGCTATTAAAGTCTGTCTAGATTTTTTAAAATCATTCAGCTATTGACCATGCTTATCTATTCTTGTTATTTACATATGTGAACTACAATGCTTCGAACAGCCCCGTGTGGTCAAGTTTAATCTGCCAGCTCGTGATGGTATTATGTGGCTTTTGGATGGAATTCTCAAGTGTCCGGAGAAAGTATGTCCGCTATATGTTGAAGATATTGATTACTACGATATGTACGTCTCTGCCTGTCAAACCTCACATCTTCCAAACGAACCGAATGCGGCCAAAGATTTCCGGCAAAAACCAACTGAAGTGGCCAGTCGTCATCCTGATTACTGCACGGTTATTTTGCAGCTGAGCGAAAAATCGGTCAATTTGATCGAGGCATAGTTTATATCTACTTAATATGACTAATGCGTCTCATCCGAAGAGATCCCGACCGTGATTTTGTTCCCTTTCTAAACGCATGTTCCTGTGTGGATCAACCGAATGGGACTATTCTGGACAATTCCGTCACCAATCCCATAGAGCTTCGTCGATTCGAATCCAAGGATTTGTCACGTAACTTACTGGTCACGTCTCCTTGAATTACTGTGTTAATAAGTAAATGTTCCCCCTCAAAATCAAATACAAAAAATATCATTTCCAAATGCATTTTTGCAATGCCGCATAAGGTTTTCGTACGGTGACTAACAAAGAACTCTTGATAGTTGTTTCATCCTTGTCTGGGCTGACCAGCGATTCGTACGATTTTTCTGGTCCGTATTCCAACTAAGAATCTTTTGGTAAGGAGCAGAAACCCATACCTCAAAGATGGAAAAAGTGAAGCCCATACAGTGACAAAATGTGAGAACCTTGAAATTGTCTGGGCAGTGCAAGAAAAACGTCTGAACTTAAGAAAGTAAATTATTCGTGATCTAAAACAGCTATATTTAAATAAAGCGAAATTCCGATTTGATTCACAAATTTAGTCTAGCCTCGGAGAAACAACCTGATAAACCGCACTGGGTATATCTGGCCTGAGATAAAAAAAACCTTATCAGCGTGTTTCAAGAGTGAAGTCGGGGCAATAGCAAACAAATCACTAATATATGTAGAAAATAAGTATAAGCAAAGTACTTTACATTGAAGTACCTCTGAGTTATTCACCAATGTTTCGGACATTTTTGACCTAACCTGGGGCATTATATATATTTCATAATAAGTAATATGTGAATGACTGGGTAAAATTTCCCTGGAAGCACACGACCGGTTTCGCGGTTCTTTCCGCTCGTCAGGCATGCGTATCCGGTAATCTTTTGTCAGTTCATTCATAT